TACAGCACAAATTTTACAATTAAATTATAAAATTATTCATTTTTACAAGCAGGTTAACTAATTCCAAATATCTGCAATAAAATAAGTTGTCTTTTTTCCTTTATCTCTTTTTCAGTTTATACCCACCTCTGCCTTCCTGGTACCACATTTTTTATTAAAAATCTAAAATGTTTCCATAGAAATACTAATAGAATGAATAATTTTAAAAAATACACAAAGAAGGGTGGAAAAAGGAAGAGAGAGAAGGTGGATAAAGCACATGGGAACATTCAGAAAGGTATTTTTTAAAAATATCCAAACAAAAAGTTAAATACAGAGTTTACCATGAGAGGTTCCCTTTTGCTCTACATGTTTCTACTCTCCCTGAGTTATATCGTGTTGAACCTATTTGTTCCTTTCCTCTTTTTGACCCTTCCTTGTCCTATTGTGGATGCTGCCTTCCTTTCTTTATTAAAAATTGTATTATCACTTCTATAATAATTTTTCTCCATGTTCCCCCCCTCAAAATCGCTATCTTTTTTGCTAACCTTGATTTAATGGCAATAATACAACCCTCTGCATGAAGTGAAAATGTAGCATAAATTCAAAATTTCTACATAAAATCTATCAGAGTGTAAAGTTCAATTACAGGCTCTGCAGTATGATTGTTCAAGTTCAGCTTTTAGCACCACTGCATGCTAGCGTTGACCTTGGGTGAGTGACTTAACTTCTCCATTCCTAACTTTCCTAACCTCAAAACAGCAATAATGATAGTACCTACTTCAGAGGGTTTTGTGAGAGTTAAGTGAGACTAGGCTCTGGCTGTGCAAGCACACACCAAATATTGTCTATTTATACTGCTATCATTTTAATTTAAAATTGTTCCCTATTAAAGTATCTAGATTCTCTTTAAGCATAATTCTCACCTAAGAAAATAATCACATATTTAAGAATCTATGAAAGGAGACAACTAGTTTGGTCACCTCATGCCTTGTCTAATAAAATCTTAAGACATAAAAAAATTTGAAAATCTAGAATAAAATATCAGAGAGTAAGAACGAACACACTTAAAAGTTGTTTGAAAGATGGAATATCCTAAGGCATTTTATCCACTCCCTTTCAAACCTCTCCTGTACTTCCCAACCCTTTATCTATTCCCCATAAACCATGATGATGCCATATAATGATTCTGAATTAAAATAGAAAAGCTCACCCTGAGCACTACAACTTAATTTTTCCAAGCTGCCATCAAGGAAGAATGAGTTTCAAACCTCCTGAACTTGAACTAATCCATTATACACTCTAGCTCAATGAGATAAAATTCAAAGCACATCTTTGGACATCAATCTAGGTAAGATTAAAGTTGCTTCAAGTACTTCTACTTGAGGTGAAAATTATGCCTTAAAATCCAAGTTTCTAGGTAAGCCTGTAATTGGCAAGTAGCCACTTACAAACTACTGTGCATGGTGCTTTCCTATTCTGAAATCTTCCTGCTATTGATATTTTGTAAATGAGAAATTGATCAAAAGAGTAGAAGAGCAAACTCAAATTCAGGTGTTCTATCTCAGTTGAACACGCCATGCTGTTTCCTCATCAATGTAAAACTGAACATATCCCAAGTGTCTCCCACATCACCCTACATATTTCACATTCTACACCAGAACCAGAGGAGTTATTGCGTCTAGACTTCCAGAAGTATTAATAGGGAAAGGCTAAGCAAAGATGATAGCTTTTGCTTCCAGATATAAACAGCAAAAAACCAAGACTATGAAAGGCAGGATGAGAAGGCAAGAAAAAACAAATAACAATAACTGACTCAGAGTTTAATTTCTCTTCCTAATATAGAGCCATTTACCTCTACAAAAACAAAACAAAACAAACAAAAAACACTCAGAAGTCAGATTTTATTAGAAAGATATTAAAATATTTTATTCAGTGGAAAATAAAATCTCATTTTGTGATCAGTCCCTCAAGGCCTCGACTATTCTTCTATCATTCCCTGATCTACTGAACATTCCAAAATCTAAGTTTAAATATTTCTTGGGAAATTAAAACCACAATGCCAAGGTAGTTCTTAAGGGATGGCATAATCCAACTCCTATTGCAAGTAGGGTGATATGGTTTGAGTCTGTGCCCTTACCTAAATCTCATGTTGAATTGTAATCCCCAATATTGGAGGTGGGGCCTGGTGGAAGGTGACTGAATTGGGGGTGGTTTCTCGTGATTTAACATCATCCCCCTTCGTGTTGTCATAGCAATAGTGAGTCAGTGAGCTGTCATGAAATCTGGTTGTACAGAAGGGTATAGCACCTCCTCCCTCTCTCTGTTTCTCCCGCTTCATCATGTAAGACGTGGCTGCTTCTCCTCTGCCTTAGGCCATGATTGAAAGTTTCCTGAAGTCTCTCTAGAAGCTGCTAAGCTTCTGGTACGGCCTGCAGAACCATGAGCCAATTAAACCTCTTCTTTAGAAATTACTCAGTCTCAGGTATTTCTTTACAGCAGTGCAAGAGTGGATTAATATATAGGGTTACTAGGGCCCAAAGCCATTAAATGCTGTTATGGGCTGAACTGTGTCCCCCCAAAAAAATCATGTTGAAGTCCAGATCCTTAGTACCTTAGAATAGGACTGTATTTGGAGATAGGGTCTTCAAAAAGGTAATTAAGTTGAAATCATTTCATATGGGTAGACCATAAACCAATGTGATTGTTGTCCTTATAAGAAGAGAAAATTTGGATGCAGACAGACACACAGGAAAAATGATGGCACAGATCCTTCCTCACAGCCCTCATTTGGAGGGCCATGGCACCTTGCTCTCAGACTGGCAGCTTCCAGGACTGTAAGACGTTAAATGTCTGTTGTTTAAGCTATGCAGGCTGTGGTACTTTGTTTCAGTAGCCCTAGCAAACTAATTGAGGTGGCTTATCTAACACTGTACAGTGATGAAAAACAAAGTCAGGATCAAAACCTATTGATTTGTGTGTGCTGATTCAGTAAAGTTGCGGAATACAAAATCAACACACACAAATCAGTAGGTTTGGATTCTGACTTTGTTTTTCATCACTGTACAACATAAGAGAAGCCACCTGCAACTTCCCATGGAAGTTTCTACCTCACTACTGCCTTGTAACTGACTCCCTGTTTTCACTCAATGTTCTCTTCCACAAAAATTTTATACTAGGTTCAACATCTTAAGGGCCGTGGTATACATATATACCGCTTATGCTAAACTCTTGTGAGCTACACTCCTGCATTCCCAACAAGACATTTTCATACAGATGCCTCAAGAGCTCAAAATCTCTAAAACCCAAATCAATTACTCCAAAATGTCAGTAAGGACCCTGTTTTGAACTCTAACAAGGTTTAGGTACAAGATCCCACTCCTTAGACAAGTTATCTAAGCTCTCTGAGCCTCAATTCCATATTTATAATATAGATTCTATAAACAACACAAATTCTATAAACTAAAAATTTTAAACTTCTTCAAAGGGATATCGTGTGAAGATTACACTGGATAACAGCCTTTTAAAACTGCGAAGTCTTAAAAGCAATTCTCCATGCAACCACAAACGATTTCTGTCTCTGGCGCCATTTTTTAACTCATTCAAACTCAAAACCATTGTCATTTCCCTCTGAATCTATAATCAATAATTCACCTAGCTCTGACATCTCTTTCTATACAATAACATTTTTGTTACTAACTTCTAAGAAACCCATAATTTCAAATCTATGCTATTTTGAATGACTGACTTATCAGCTTCCAGTTTCTTCTTCTAATCTATCATATGCAAATGATTTTTCTTCCTAATACACCTAGCTCAAAAGTCTTCAGAGGCTTTCTAACCCACAGAACAAGGTCCCACCTACACAGCCCTGCATTCTACAACACAACTGCAACTAAGAGCCAGTTCCTAAGCTCAGCTCATGGCTTAAAATGAAGTCATGTTGCCAGCCAAAGCCAGGTCTCAGTGTGCTAAGGATTCCCTGCATTCCCTGCTTCTCTGTTTCCTAAAATCTAACCTTTAATGAGCCTCAGGAGCTTGCCTCACACCCAGCCAATGTGAATAAGTAGATCATCAACAACTTCAATGTGATCCTACTTGCTTCTTCCCTTGGACCTCTCACTGATGGGCCCACTTGCCACACTGGATCCTTCAATACCATTACAAACTTTCTTGCCACCTTGTACCAAGACTAGCAACAACAGTAAGGTTAGGTTGATTAATTCCAGTGAACGCCCTGCATACCAGGGATCCTGCCTGCTGGTCAGTTTCATTCTTCTTCTGGTTCCTTCTTAGCCCAGTAAAGTAAACCTACTTATCCTAAAAGTTATTAAACTGAACTGAAAAGTTCCCACTAATAAAAAAACGATATTTGATTCTCCTGGAATAGAAAAAATTTCCTATGCAGATAATAAAGCAAAGAACTATTTAATTTCATAAGAATTAAAATCTTATATGTAGCAAATAACTACATTATAAAAGAAGTTTTAGAAAATAACAGACGAGGAAAATATCACCACATAAATGACCCTAATATATAAAGAATGTCTATATTATCTTCTTTCCAATAAGAAAAAACAATAAAAGTACATTAAAGGATAGAAACAAAGAAATAAAGACTAGAAATTCAAACGACTAATAAGACGGCATGACATATGACATATCCCCATTTTTAAGGGCTTTCCTTAAAAATCATCAATAGTGAGTAATGTTAAACAAATATGTATCTAAGAACTCTATAAATAGTAGCAGACATATAAAACTCCTCAGTTACCTAAATAGCTTTACCATCAAGGCATAGCAGTTTTATTCCACATCTGAGCATACAGTAGAATGGCCTTGTTTCATTTAACATGACTTGATATGACTGCAGGAGGTACTGATTTTTAAATTTCAGCTTACATATTCCAACAAAAGATACAGTCGTGTAATTTTAAAACAGCATATTCAGATGTGTATAATATTTAAATAGCTATGGGGACCATAGAAACACAAAAGCAAAAACAAGGAAAAGTGCCTACCTTCCCTGATAGCTGTGAAAGGTGTCCCTTCTTCTTCTTGCAGCCTAATCACCTTCAGAGCTACCAACTTCCCATTTACCCTGCAACAAATGAAAGAAGAGGCAAGTGACTCCATGAAAATATGTGCCCATTATAGTTCAAATTGTCTTCCTTATAATTTATTTATATAAGTAAATAAATTCACTTTTATGCTAAAAATGTCAGTGACTCAATTATACAGCCAAAGCAAGATTAGTTTTAATAAGGCTCGGAATTCTATATCATCATTATAAATATTCACCATTTTAAATATTCATACTTGCATAGGCCAAGATTTAACTGAAGTTTTCTGTGATTCACTGTGTTCCTTCCAGAATGAAACTAGTATTTAACCAAATCACCACCCTTGGCAATTATTCTCAGATTAATTAAAAATGAAGCAATCAAAAATAACTCCGTTCTTGGTTTCCCCAATAGCTCCTTCTTTGTTTCTTCTGCTGAAATGTCTTCATTTTTAGTCTTTAGCTAGGTCATTCAATTCCCAAGGACAGAAACTTAGAAACTTGACTCTCTCACTCTCTCGCTCTCTCTCTCTCTGCCCCAACAACACCCATTCCCATTTTTTTCCTTTTTTTTTTTCCTTTTTACTACAGCCTCCTAAAATTAAATTTGGTCTAGTTGTGTTTTATATTACAGTATGTCATCAAAAAAGTTATGAATATTTTACCATTACAAGATTACATAAGACCTATCCAAAGCAGATGGTCCTTCCAGACACATTCTAAATATGGATTGGCTCCAATTAAAAGTAAGATTGTGCTATGGAGATATCTTTTTATCCAGTCAATTCTGTCATCAATCAAAGACATGACTATCTATATTAGCCCCCCTCCTTGAGTGTTCTATTTTCTACCTACACTGGGCCTAGAAGCATACTTTATTTGGTTTGTTTGTTAACTAAAATAGGACAAAACAAAACCACATATATAATTCTCAGTAGATTGGTTTCAGGATCCCCTTTGATACCAAAATCAGAGAGTGTGTAAGTCTATTATATAAAATACTGTAGTGTTTGCATAAAACCTATGTATACGCACCCATACACTTTAAATAATCTCTGGATTACTTATAATACCTAATACAATATAAATACTATGTAAATAGTTATTATACTGTATTTTTATGCATATAATTTTAATTGTTACATTATCTGTCTTTTTCCCAAATATTTTCAATCGAAAGTTGTTTAATTTCCAGATGCAGAAACCTTGAATATGGAGAGCCGACTATATCAAAAATGCAAAAGGTGCAGGACATATAGATTTCCATATATATGTATCACATATATGTACACATAAATATAAACATATACACACATAACACAAATGGTAGTGTACAATATAGAGTATACTCTATATTGTTTATGTCACTTAATAATATATTTCGGTGACTTCCTTATAAATCCATAGAAAACTGCCTTTTGTTTTCAAAAACCACAGGGTGTTCTTATGTATGAGTAGAGCACACTACATTTAACCCCAGTCCTCTATTGATAGTTATTTAGCTTGTTCCCAAATTTTGTTACTACAATGACACAACAGGTATTCTTGTACATGTAATTTCATCTTTTAAAAATAGGTCTGTAAGATAAAATTCCTAAAAGGACAATTGCAAGGTCAAAGGTATGTGCATTTCTAATTTCCAATTCTGATAAATACTGGAAAATCATCCAAAATAGAGGAGACGATACCAATATAAATATTTGGTATCCTTTCCTATAGCAAATAGAGTTCCTTTACCTCTCCTCCTTCACCTAGGCTACATGTTCTCAGTGTCTGATTTTGCCAATCTAAGAGGTCAAAAATGGTTTCTTGCTGTAATTTAAATGGCTACCAAAGATATCTAGAGTATAAAGAACTAGTAAAGGAGAACTTAGTGGGCCTGAGAATCCAGTGTCTGAGTCTGAAATAATTTGAATGTCTCTTTTTTAAACCTACATCTATTTTGTCTGTTTTTGCTCTAAAACTGTCATAGACATAAAACCCAAAATGCCCAGGAATTCATCATAGTTGAACCATCCTAGTGGCATTTCTCATTGAACTGATTGTTGAAATACATTATTACTGGTTACAGTAATGGGATAGGGACACCTGATTATAAGGCTCCGCAATGTACCATCTCCTCAAGGTTAGGAACTGTGTTTCTTTTTCCTCCAGTTTTAGCACAGAGGACAGGCCTGCTGCTTTTCTGTTCTTCAACCTCTTCTCCTGAGTATATTTTCTTGATTTTTTCTAATCCTGTTTTGTGCTCTAAGGACCCAGGTACAGGCAAAAAAGTTACTATACTCATGGGGTTCGGCTGGAGACTGTACCTTGTACTCTTCACTCTGTCTTTCAGGACTAAGCACTTTGGCGGGGCTTGAGGTTGGGATGCAGTCAGTGCTGACATTTGCATAAATTTTTCTCAGCCCAGTTGAGCTCATCACTGGCTCCCTGAGGAGGCAGTAAGTGATTCCAGGAACTGCTTGGAATTTTCCCCTAATTTACGGATATTTTCCCCTCACCCATAAAACACACACACACAACCTTTTTCTTGCAAAGTTTTCCAGTTCTCTTGAGAGTATTAACTTGTATGGATCATGCACTGTGAACTGAGTTCTGGAATATAGGGACCGCATGCTTCCATAGGTTGTGTTCTTAAAGCACATTCTCAGGCATGAAACTACGATTGCCCTATAATACACTGAAAGGACACCAGCCTTTAATTGAATCAACACTTATTTCTAAAGTGCAACTACACATGGATTCCCCTAAGTAACTTCATTAGCTAATTTGTATTATTTTTGAGTTGAAAAAGGTTTTTGAAAATATTTTCTATAACTGCATAAAAAAACAAGACCTAGGTTCATGGAATTCAAATTCTGAATTCTCCATGAATTGAACCTCCAAGTGTTTGTCTTGAATAAGTTATGATCATCTAAATAGTTCACAACACTGAGATTTTATGTATTACATGATTTGAAGCTATAATTTCCTTAAAATGTATACTACACAGTAAGTTCCAGAAATGAAAGAACTTTTTCTGCTTTATAAACTGTTATGTGCCCAGTATCTAGACCTTCTTTGCACAAAGTAGATTCTCAAAATATTTCACTGAATGAATATTGATGCTGCTATAATAGTATACTGATATTTTCCTCAACATACCTGCAAAATAAGTCCAGAATGAATCATTAAAAGTATTATTTCCAAAAAATTTCAAAATTTTCAAAATTTTATAAAGCTTTCAACATCTACTTTCATGTTGGGTTTAAATGTTTATTTTCTTTTTATAAATAAAAGGTGTGTGGTCTCTTTGTGTTTAATACATCTACATATAGAAAATTTTTCATTTTCTTTAAATTTTAGAATTTGTAGAATGCTTTGTTAATTAACCTTTTTGCACCCAGCAGACATGTTTCAAAACACTCACTAACCTTTAATAATCTGAGCACAGATCACTAATCAGCATCTCCCTTTTCCACGATTGCTTCATTGGTTTCCTATTAAGAATCATATTGATTACCGAATTGCTCTTTAACCTAAGAGTCATTGTGACTTTCTCCTTTCCTAATTAGTTTTTCTCTACATGTCTCAACCCTCAGCAACTAGTGAATCTCTCAGTTTTAAAGCCTAGTAAAAATGTTAAGCCACTGGGTCTACTTTTAGAAAAGGTACCAGTGGAAAAAATAACATTAAGAAACTTTAGGCACTGGGTCTGAGAAACTCTGGGCAAGCTCGCAGAGTTGACTCCCCAGGTGATGCCAGGCACATCTCAGGCTAGAGTACAGAGGTGTCATCATAGCTTACTGCAGCCTCGAACTCCTTGGCTAAAGCAGTCCTCCCATCTCAGCCTCCTGAGTAGCTAGGACTACAGTCCTTCCTATATGAAATGAAACAGAGAAAATCCAAGATGGCCAAATAGGAACAGCTCCGGAGTGCAGTTCTCAGCAAGAACAACACAGAGGGTGAGTGCTCACTGCATTTCCAAACAAGTTTTCGCTGCCCACAGACCAGGAGACTCCCAGGTTGAAAAGCGCCATGAGTTTTCAGCACGGCTGGTGCCGTGGGTTGGTGTACAGAAACTCACACAAATCTGGGTGGCCGTTTCAACTGATGCCTGAAACGCCTGGGAGACAGAGCCGCCCATTCAAAGGGTGGGGGTTGAGACAGGGAGCCAGGTGATCTGGCTTAGCGGGTACCACCCTCACAAAACAAGCAATCTGAAATGAGTTTCACAACAAGCGCAGCTGGACCCAGGACAGTCCAGCTCAGTGGGGGAAGGGCATCTGACGCTACTGAGGCAGTCCATCACTACCAAGGCAGTTCAAACAGCAGCTGGGCAGAGCCTGCAGCAGCTCAGCAACGCCTCTGCTAGCAGACTGAGACTAGACTACTCCATGTGGGGCAAAGCATCTCTGAAAAAAGGCAGCAGCACATCAGGAACTTATAAATAAAGCCGACCTTCCTAGGTCAGAGCACCTGGGAAAAGAGGCGGTTATGAGTTCCGCTGCGGCAGACTTAAAGATACCTGCCCCGCAGCTCTGCACAGAACAAGGGAGCTCCCAGCACAGCATGTGAGCTCCCAGAAGGGACAGACTGGCTCCTTAAGCAACTCCCCAATCCCTGTATACCAAAAGAGACACCTCATAAAGGAGAGTTCAGGCTGACATCTGGCAGGTACTCTTCTGGGAAGAAGATAAAAGGAGAAGAAACCGGCAGCAACCCTTACTGTTCTGCAGCACCCATGGGTGATCCCCAGGCAAGCAGGGTCTGGAGTGGACCTCCAGCAGTCCTGCAGCAGAGGGGCCAGACTGTTAGAAGGAAAACTAAGAAACAGAAGGAAATAGCTTCAACACCAACAAAAAGACGTCCACTCAGGGACCCCATCTGAAAGTCACCAACTACAAACACCACAGGTGGATAAAGCCACTAAGATGGGAAGAAACCAGTGCAAAAAGGACGAAAACACCAAAAACCAGAACATCTCTCCTCCTCCAAGGGATCACAATTCCTCACCAGCTAGGGATCTAAGATGAATGGAGAATGAATCTGATGAACTG